CATGTTGGCTGGGGAATTCTGGGAGTTGAAGTCCACTCACCTTAAAGTGGCCAAGTTTGGACAACACTGGCCTAGAGTAACCTTGTGTGAATCTGCAATTCTGAAAAATACTAAGAAAACTTTGGAACAGATCTCTAAGTACCAACAAGCAGCACAATAGTCTCTTGATTAGTGATGCCCACGTTGGTCTGTGTCTCAGTAACGGCTCAGAAAAGACTAAACAAAAGTTATTAACTGAACTTCTCGAGGGGGGCTGGGTTGAAAAGTCAGCCATTTTAAACTAAACTGGAAATAATGTGTTACGTAAATACAAGAGGGTCGCTCAGACATCCAAGGAAGGTGTTGTGGCCAACACAGGTCTTTCAACCTTCTGGTGGAAACTACGAATGGTTTTGGAACCTTCATCCCTGCGACCCACAAATTGTACCTTTTTAGAGATTAACAGCTGCATCACTATGATTCTGATGAACCTTTGCAAAGAATGTTCAAGAGGTTTGCCACAAACCTGATTTTTATCCAGCCAATTGATGATTTCATTGCATTTGTCCAAGATCTTCTGCTTGTCTTCATCACTGATCTTCCCTTGGAGCTTCTCATCTTCCACAGTGGCCTTCATGTTGAAAGCATAGGATTCTAGCGAGTTCTTGGATGACACCTTATCTCTCTGCTTTTCATCTTCAGCCTTGTACTTCTCAGCTTCCTGGACCATACGCTCAATGTCCTCCTTACTGAGACGACCTTTGAAAAGACAAAGTTCCTTGTTAATGAATTTCCTTTGAGGCTTCCATGCCACATACCCAATAACCCCAAACTGTGGCACTTTCTCAACTATTTTAAGCAAAGCAGTTTCAGAATATTTGAATAGGAATGGCGAGCAGGCCAAGATCCAACTCGTTAACCAAGCAGCTTTATTACTGTTGTCCAGAGTTTTGCTGAGTGAGGTCAAAAGGCCTAAACTGTTTAAGATCCACTATATAGATGTCAAGGCAAATAAGGTTAACATGACTGAAGCAAGTAACCAATTGAAGTAGCCACTCAAAGAGGCAAGGCCACAGGACCAATTAACATGACTTCATTTGATGACTTCCAAGCAATGCCAGTCTCTCTACAGAACTCACCTTTGTCATTGGTGATAGTGATCTTGTTCTCCTTGCCTGTGCTCTTATCAACAGCAGACACATTGAGGATGCCATTGGCATCAATATCAAAGGTTACTTCAATTTGAGGCACACCCCTTGGAGCTGGAGGAATGCCAGTCAGTTCAAACTTGCCCAGCAAGTTGTTGTCCTTGGTCATTGCTCTCTCCCCCTCATACACCTGAGAAGATAGGCAGAAAACATGACATTTAGGCAGGCCCTAGCTAAGCTGGGCAGCTACTATGGGAAGTTTCCCAATTGACGAGAAAACCTTTGTTCCTATGGACCTTTTCAAAGTCTAGCATGATCAGTGGAAAAGGAATATCTCTAGAGATATTTATTAATTAGTTCTATTTGTAAGCTGCTTCAAACTCGATAGGTCCTAATGCTTCAATGAAGCAGCCCCGCAGAAAAAAAATCAGGACATTTTGACCCAGGTGGTCGCTCAGACATCCAAGGAAGGTACTTAAGCCAACACTGGTCTTTCAACCTCTAGTGGAAACTACGAATGGTTTTGGAACCTTCATCATTGCAACCAAACCTAGGCCTGTCCACCACACTTTATGAGGCAACAGCATGGCAGCTCCAACAGGGAGTGAATTACACTGTTACTACACCTAATCCCTGAACAGAATGAGTCACAACCATGGGATGACAAAAATTCTCCCCTATGGGTTTTGCATACCTGAATCAACACCCCTGGCTGGTTATCGGAGTACGTGGTGAACGTCTGAGTCTGTTTGGTGGGGATCGTGGTGTTGCGTTTGATCAAGACCGTCATGACACCACCAGCTGTTTCAATACCCAGGGACAGGGGAGTCACGTCCAACAACAAGAGATCTTGCACATTTTCAGATTTGTCCCCAGAGAGAATTGCAGCTTGAACAGCTAGAAAAAAAAAAAGATATAAACATATATGAGCAACAACCTCAAGAATGTCCCTGGTTACCTCAAATCACTTTGCCTCCTCAGATAGCTTTGGGTTACCATTAAACCAATTCTGGTTAAAGCTACGAAGGATTTTAAATAGGATTCATTTGGACAAGCTGGCAGAAATTACATTAACAGGACATTCTGAGATTCATCTGTAAGGAAAAAGTTTTAATGTAATAGCCACATGTTCAAAAACTTCTGATCATTCCAGTCTGGCAAGAACGGAGTTGTGTTACAATTACCTGCACCGTAGGCTACAGCTTCGTCGGGGTTGATGCTCTTGTTGAGCTCTTTGCCATTGAAGAAATCTTGAAGGAGTTTCTGGATCTTGGGGATTCGGGTGGACCCGCCAACCAGCACAATATCGTGCACCTGAGATTTATCAAGCTTCGCATCACGCAGAGCTTTCTCCACGGGATCCAGAGTGCCGCGGAACAAATCGGCGTTCAGCTCTTCAAACCGAGCTCTGGTGATGGAAGTGTAAAAATCAATGCCCTCGTACAGGGAATCGATTTCAATACTGGCCTGAGTGCTAGAGGACAGTGTGCGCTTTGCTCGCTCACAGGCGGTGCGGAGCCGGCGAACGGCCCGCTTGTTTTCGCTGATGTCCTTCTTATGCTTCCGTTTGAACTCGGCAATGAAATGGTTGACCATTCGGTTGTCAAAGTCTTCGCCCCCCAAGTGTGTGTCTCCTGCGGTCGATTTCACTTCAAAGATGCCATCTTCAATTGTGAGGATGGAGACATCGAAAGTGCCACCCCCCAGATCAAAGATCAGCACGTTCCTCTCAGCACCAACCTGGGGTAGAAAGGAAACGTGTCAACGGAAAACCCAAGCCAAAAACCCAGGATCCGTGATTTCCCCACCTGGAGGGTCACTACTCACTTTTTTGTCCAAGCCGTAAGCAATAGCAGCCGCAGTTGGTTCGTTAATAATCCGGAGCACATTGAGACCAGCAATGGTTCCAGCATCTTTTGTGGCTTGGCGTTGGGAGTCATTGAAGTAAGCTGGGACGGTGACTACAGCATTTGTAACAGTCTGGGGCGGGGGGGAAAGAAGGTTATACAAGTGGGGAAATTACCTAGGGCGGGGTTTCTCAACCTCAGCAACTTCAACTCTGCTGGCTGAGGAATTCCAGGAGTCAAAGTCCACACCTCTTAAAGTTGCTGAGGTGGAGAAACACTGCCCTCAGAGCTCACTTTAAATTGTGATGATGCTTTCCCACACCATTTCAAGAACTCACCTTTCCTAGATACGCCTCTGCAATCTCCTTCATTTTGGTTAGCACCATTGAAGAAACTTCTTCGGGATAAAAGCTTTTGCTCTCTCCTTTATATTCCACTTGGACTTTGGGCCTGCCGGCATCATTCACGACAGTGAAAGGCCAATGCTTCATGTCCGACTGCACAACAGCATCATCAAACCTGCGGCCGATCAGACGCTTGGCATCTATTCAAGACAGCGTAGCTGTTATACGCTCTGCTGACTAATTAAACCTGCCCTTTAATCCCTCTTACTTACAACTGGCAAGTTAAAATATGTGTTTTATTAGCTTAAATTATATGTCCTAATAATGTATGACTGTAACAGGCAGCATTCAAGCCAAGGTTGTAATTCCAGTGGTTTTATAGTTAACAGGATGGAAACAACCAAACTTTTAAATTACCAAACTCTGTAATGTTCCTGCTTCCAAAACCATTATGTTCACAGAAGCCCTGAAGTTACAAAGTTAAGTTCCCGTTGCTTCAGGAAACAGAAATCTGATTACCACTTTCAACAACTAATAAAATCCAAGTGTTGGAATGACGTCACTCTGCCTGCTGTGAATATTGTTACTGCTAATATCTACGGTGATTGCTACATCATAGCAATGAAAAAAGGCTTTCTTAAGGCTTTCTTAAGCAAGATGTTTACATAATCTATAATAATTCTTAAGCAACATGTTTAAATAATTTAGCCTTTCCTCACGGCCTTCAGCACACCATCTCAGTGAACTTCAGCCGAGCTGTTACAGGTACAAAGGAATTCCTATGTTCTATCCCCATTTATTAAATTTATATGCCACCCATCATCCCAAACGGCGACTAATAACACAGGAACTCCTTCAAGGCACGCGTCTCCTTACCAAAGACTGTGTTCGTGGGATTCATTGCTACTTGGTTCTTTGCAGCATCGCCAATCAGCCTCTCCGTGTCAGTGAACGCCACGTAGCTTGGCGTGGTCCTGTTACCCTGGTCATTGGCAATGATCTCCACCTTGCCATGTTGGAAGACACCAACGCAGGAATAAGTGGTGCCCAGATCGATTCCAACGGATGGTCCCTTAGACATGGTGAACTGCAAACACGTAAAGAAATTAGCCATTAATGCCCAGAGAACCATGTCTCTTGCTGATTATCTAATGCAGCATTTTTCTACCTGGGCACCTTTAAGAGGTGTGGACTTCAACTCCCAGAATTCCCCAGCCAGCCGTGCTGGCTGGGGAATTCTGGGAGTT